CACACACACACACAGTAAAACAAACACATCACTGCAAGAGCGAGCGATGCTCTACTTCCCCTGCTTCAGAGAAGTGAATTATAAGAGCGAAGACTCTTGCCTTATCCATGCGGTCCTGCTGCAGTCCAAACTTCCCTCCATAACCGTGAGACGCTTTGGGCATGTGCTCCAGCTCCTTCTGCTTCAGCTCACTGTGTTCAGACGACACTCTCTCACGCAGCTTATGAATACTGAGAAATCAGGGGGAAATTAATTACGTAAATTATCATGTTCAGGTGAAAAGCTGGGGCCAGTTATATAAACCTAGCCTGTCGTTAAGATGGTGTCTTGAGAACTAGTCTGACCAACTAGGGTTTATAAATCTTATTTTTCAGATTCAAATTAGACCAATCTACGTTTTTACGTGACTTAAGAAAAAAAGGTTGAGACCAGTCTTAAAGCAAGAAATATTAACTAGTAAGACTAGCAACCTGTCACTGGTCTAACATCAATGATACGATTAAACTCTCAACAGAAATTTGTTTCCTTAATATTTGATTTGCCCTTTCATTTTCAAAAATATTTATAAATAAACATACATATACATAAATATATAAAAACTTACATATATATATAAATATACAATATACACACTATTGTTCAAAAGTTCGGGATCAGTAAGATTTATGTGTTTTAAAAAAGTCTCTTCTGCTCATCAGGGCTGCATTTATTTAATCAGAAGTACAGTAAAAAAACACTAATATGTGAAATATTATTACCATTTAAAATATTTAACTTTTAACTTTAAAATATAATTTATTTGTGATCAAAGCTGTATTTTCAGTTTCTTTTGGAATATGTTAAAATGTAATTTATTCCTGTGATCAAAATTGAATTTTCAGCATCATTGCTCTAGTCTTCAGAGTCACATGATCTTCAGAAATCATTCTAATATGCTGATTTATTATCAGAGCTGGAAACTGTTGCTGCTTAATATATATATATTTTTTTTTTTTGGAACCTGTGAAACTTTTTCAGGATTCTTTGATGAATAAAGTTAAAAAGAACAGCATTTACTTACAATACAAATCTTTTCTAACAATAAAAGTCTTTATCATCACGTTTTATCAATTTAACACATCCTTGCTGAATAAAAGCAAGAAAGTAGGGCTGGACGATATGGCCGAAATTTATATCACGATATATTTCTTAATTTCGGTCGATACGATATAATTCCGATATCGATATGAACAGCATTTATCTGAAATAGAAATCTTTTGTAACATTATAAACGCCTTTATCATCACTTTTGATCAATTTTAAGCATCCTTGCTAAATAAAAGTATTAATTTCTATAATTTCTTTCCCAAAAAAATAATGAAAATTATACTGAATGGAATAGTGTATAATGTTACAAAAGCTTTTTATTTCAGATAAATGCTGATCTTTGGATCCTTCTATTCATCAAAGAATCCTGAAAAAAAAATGTACTCAACTGTTTTAAATATTGATAATCAGCAAATCAGCATATTAGAATGATTTCTGAAGGATCATGTGACTCTGAAGACTACAGTAATGATGCTGAAAATGTACCTATGTATGATCACAGGAATAAATTACATTTTAAAATCTATTCAAAATAGAAAGCAATTTTAAATAGTAAAAATATTTCAACATTTTACTGTTTTTGCTGTACTTTGGATCAAATAAATGCAGCCTTGTTGAGCAGAAGAGAATTCTTAAAAAAAAAAAAAATACACATTAAAAA